TTATGGAACCTATGACATTTTTACGAGCAACACTTATTTGTATACGTATATATGGAGGTTAGGAAACAGTTGTTGCTAATATCTAAATTTCGACGATATTGGACTAATGATGTTTTTCCGAGAAACGCCTCAATTATAACTATCTCAGTCGGTAATAATATATAACTACTTTGTTTTGGGTCCAATATAGGACAAAAAAGTTCGCACGTTACTTTGGTGGTAGGGTTTTTGTTTTGTTGTTAAGAGCAGAGCTGTGTTTAAATTACAACAAAAAATATTTCTAAATAGTGTAAAGATCAGTGGTATAAATGGGTTCCTCAAGGTTTAAACATTGTTACTTTAATGCGTTTTAATTTAAATTCTGAAAAAAAAACAGTAAAATGGCCAGTGTCAAATTACTGGTTGGTTTATTTGTAAAATTGTCCCCTCAATCCGAAAAGACCGTCATAAACTATGAGCTCAAACCTTGAGCTTAGCACAAAAAGCCTTACTTCTTAACCTAATGACATAAATAACTATTAATGGGAAGTCTTGCTTTATTAAACAATTAACCTTCATAAATGAATACAAAGATACCATACACACAATTAAATAACACACCATTCTGAAATCATCAAATTATAAAGAAGTTTGGTACAATATAATCATCAGTACTATAGTATACTTCAACACTTACTGATGTATTTCGTAACTTTAACCCTCTTTACTGTATCCCGGCATCTTTTTTCGGATACTTCGTACTTCGCACACTCGTTAAATAGGTATAAGGAATCCGAATACCAATAATAACAGATTTCTGATAATATATTATAAACACTCGTTACGAACATGTTACGAATTAGAATAAAGTAAGCAGAAACATAAGTTGCAGACGCTGAAGTCAGTTGAACTTGTTGATGCGTATAATAATAATAATAATAATGATAATAATAAAAAAAGAAAACTTTCGTTTTCGTGAGCAATTGCAGAAATGGATTTAGATGTCGTCGACGAGTTTATTGGAGCTTCGTTGAGGACAAAACGGAAACCGCAGCAGAAGAGAAAAAAGGGATGCGCGCCGTGACGCAGACAAACAAATTTGTCAAAACGTCGCTCGGCAAAGGAAAAAAGGGCGACATTTTTATGGCACGCCCGGCCAATTTGTTACAGATTCTTATAATTCCAGTTCGTAATTCAATTACTGTGATTTATACTGCTTGTTTTAATGGTTCGCTTTCATTTCATTGATGTTGTTTCCGTTGACGATGGCAACTCGGCGTATTTTGTTTTCATAAAAACCCACCAAATTTATCCAACTTAATTTACTGTGAACTCACAGATAAACACCCACGGCTCGATCAATTACCAGCACGTCCACAACAAATACAAACTTTTGCTTTCACAAGAATTAACTTTAAATTTAATCCCTAGTACTTCGTCAGATTAACAATTATATTTGTCTTAAGGCTCAGCTTATTTGCCCTTTCGGCTTTCTATACGTTTGTCATCATACTTTCACCGATTTTACCATATTAACTGCATAAAATTCACTGGACACCTGTACAAACATATCGACGACTACAATACACAATGCAGTGTTTTGTTGTTTGGTACGCCCACCAATTTTTCGACAAAATGCATCGACACAATCTGATTGATTACCTTGTATAGGGTGTTTCGTGATCAATTGAATTTAATGGAATGCGCAAATGAATAATTTAATTTGTATGGATGGGATCATGGTCTCGCATGATGACAGTTCAGTTTGGGCATGAAGTTTTACTTTGTTTTTTTTTTAATTGAAACTGCATTTTACAAATTAATTTAATGGTTTTATGCTTGTTTTAGAATTTCTCATATATCTACCTACATTGTTTTAATGGTAGGTAGTAACTATAGTTATACATACTAGGGACAAAAATGAACCTGATTTTTACCAGACATTTCTACATTTGTATTCTAGTTGTGAAATTTACGATATGAAATATAACATATTTATGTTAAGTGGATCAACCGCCAGGAAACTGAGAATTAAACAGAAAATGGACTGAAATCAACCTTTATTATAGTTTATCTATGCAAAGAAAGATGTAATTCTCCCTATGTTAAAGAATATCGAAAAAAAAAACAGATTTTAAATTTTATTTTGACAGGATACTGAGAATGTTTTAATATTTTTTCAAAAAACGCATATTTACAACAATTAAAAAATAAATGTTACTCTTTTATACAATTTTTTAAACAATTCGTATAAATATAGTATAACTTTGAGTTAGAATATAAATTTTAGAATATTGGACAATTTGTTCGGGTGTGAAGCATCACACCACCTAAGATAACCCAATGAAATGATTTCCTGCTTAAAATAAGACGCCGGCCGATCGCTCAACTGCAATCTGCATAATCAGTTTGCAGTTTTAGTTAGTATTAGGAAGTGTATCATTGTGAGGTTAGTACCGCATTTCTGGTGAGTAATTATTAAATATTATTTTTCCGAATAGGTAGGTATTTGCAAAATTGTTCATGGACTGTGATAAATCAATAATTATGACCTGTGGATCAAATGAGGATAAAAAGTGTTTTTATCTTCCTACTGTGCTACATTATTGATCATCTTACTATTTACTTTAGTTTGTAATTTATGATTATTTTATGTTTTCAGTTTATATTAACTTAATTCTATCCTTCAACATTTTTGTGTTGGTCGCTGAATACATATTTAATCTATCGACATTTATTTATCGAATTTTTCAGTTTGTAGTTATGTTTTGTTATGTTTATTTTATGTTGTCAGTGTCAGTTTATATTGGGTTTAGGTATTCTATTTTCCACATTTTTGTATAAGTGGCTGAATACATAGGTATCTAAATTAATAATTTAGTTTTATTTTCCCTTTTACCACCATCGCATCCCAAAAATTATTAAAAATTTTAAATAAATTGGAGAAATTATTATAAGAATGTTGCGTTATTATGTGTCACAATTTGTGCAATTTTACCACAAAATATTATATTAAAAAAGTCTTAATTAAATACACAAATTATATGAACCGATTAGATTAAAATATGTTCTAATGTCAAATAAATTATGTAAGTTTAAAGTTTAAAATATAATAAGTTTACTACAATTATTTGCTACAATTTAGCACAAATTGTTCCTGCCACCTTTTTATAACCAATTTGTTGAACAAATTCATACAATTATGAAACCAAATCCAACAAATTTTTCTCTGTGTTAGTGCAATCAATTTACACATTAATTTGTTAAAATTATCATTTTTTTTGTTTAGTGCGTAAGTAAATTTTTACCAGGATCCTGAGAACTTGACTGATAACAGCGATGCGTGATTAAAGGGCAAGCGAGGTGCGAAAGGAATGAGGCTAATCTGCTAAATGGCAACGTCGCTCTATATGCTGAAACCTCAATTTTTTTGCGCATTTTAAATTTACCAGGATACTGAGATAAAACTTGACATTCTTAAAACAGTCACATTTAACATACAATTTCGTAAGAAGATATTGTAATATATTTCTAGATTCTTTGAAATATTTGATTTTCATGAACAAGAAAAACACTGTTAATAATATTCTTTTTTTATGAGGCAAGTAATAAGTTCGATTTTTTCTCGCTAGGGGTATTGTTTTGACAAATTAATCCTTTTCTAAGAAATTAACGTGCTAAACTTGTTTAATTTATTTATAATAAGCACTAATTTGTTTGTTTTACTGTTAATGTTTAATATTTTTCATTAAATTATTGTAAAATTAAATATGAATAATAAAACAAAAAGTGAGGTTAGGCAACCAAGAAAACGCACGATTCTTTTTCTACGATTTAAATTATCTTTAAGGTTTAATTTGCTTTAAGTTTTCAGTGAAATTAAATGTTAAACACAGTTTAAACATTCCAAACTACCTATTTTTTAAATAATAATCCAAACAAATTGAAATTAGATACCTACCTATTTATTAAACAATTAATTGAATTCAATGTAATAGCAAAAATCCATTTCTACTTAAATCATCTAGGTATTGTCAAACTATTACTGCTTCTAAAAGCAATAATAATTATTGTACATTTAATGTAATCTTTAGCTAAAAAATAAATGAGATTCTAAAAAAGTGAGGTTAGGCCGCTTTGATGTTGAATTAAATTGACCTGTATAAAGTGCTTTGAAGATAAAATGTTGTATGCCATTTGGCCAAGAAGTGCCTTTTTGTGCTTCGCTCAAACCTTGAGCTTAGCACAAAAACCCTTACTTCTTAACCTAATGACATAAATAACTATTATGTACGTGAGGAGGTGGCATAGCTTAACTTGGCATTCCTAACAGTCAAAATTAAGTAAACCCAAACCCAAGTGCAATCAATTTACACATTAAATCGCTAAAATTATCATTTTTTTGTTTGGTTCGTAAACAAATTTTTACCAGGATCCTGAGAAATTAAAAAAATATCAAAATTCAAAAATTTTATGAAAATGTACTAAAATAGACCTTGAAGTACCTCTGTACCACCAAAGTACCAAACGTACCACAAAGGTACAAATGCACCACGATATTGGCTAAAAGGTGGTTAAAAAAATATGGTGAAATGTGAAATGTTTTATATAGGAAATATGAAACGAAAAAATCATAGTTTTGAAAAAAATCTATATCAGAAGTAAATTTAGCACCCTTAAAAACCCAAAAAAGTCACGTGGTGGGAAAATATTTTAAGAATAATTTTATCGAGTAAATTTACCTCTCAGACCACTTTGCAACGTTGTATTTAATATATATTATAGATAATATTTGATTAAACATCATAAATTACCTACAAAATGTAAAAATACGAAATTGCATATTTCATCCCTGTCCTGTCATCAACCATTGTAACTGATTTATTTCTTTTTTTGCTGAACTTTTTTATTTTAACTTCCTTACAATCATAACTGAAACCATAATCACCGAAAACTCCGGAATCCCCACGCATCCAGGACAACTGATAAATCATCTCACCCCCCGCTCTTGCATGTTCCAGATTGACATGGAGGCGATGAAGAAGACCGCGGACTACCCCCCACCCCCGGAGCGAAACATGAATGGATGCAGCAGCACCGGAGTCTTCCACCACAACAACCGGCACCCCAGCTGCGGCCGCGTGCACGACAGAGAGTGGGAGCGCGGCACAGTCAATGGACAGCGTGCCGGAGTCTCCAAACCGCGCTCAGTGCCTGCCTCAACAGTACAGGCTCCGGACCCGTCCTCCAGGCGGAAGCGCCGACCGTCGATGGACCTCCACGCGAACAACAACCCGCCCCCGACCGCCTACAGGTCGCACATTCCCAAAGCCACCAAGTCGCGGTCCGGTCCGACTTCCAACAATCAGCAGAAGCTCAAGTATGTGCCGATGCAGAAGAACGTTTTTCATCACCACCAAAGCGAGACCACGTCGTGCTACGTCGGTGCCGGGTTGACCACAAGTGCTAGTGCTAGTGCGGGAGTGTATGGATTGTACTCCGAAACGAACTACGTTTACACCGTCAACGATTCCACCAGTTCGGCAGCCGCAGCTTTTTTCGCAAGGTAAGCCTTTCTTCGACTTTTATTTAGGTTTGTAACGTGCGGATGAAGATAATAAAGCATTGAAATCTCTATTTAAATGGATGGTTTAAATGACATTTTTATGCAGATTTAGTTTCTTTAGAATTCAGGAGTTTTACTAAAGTAATAGTAATTCTGCATTCTGAAGTTTGTATACACTACTAATTTTTTTTTTTGTGGCTTGTAATCTTCAAATTTATCTAAAAATAAACAAATTTGATCGTGTTCAACTCGAAATTCGCTCTATTACCTCAGAAAAGCATGTTACTATTTTGGAATTTTTTTAAAAACAACAATAATGACCACAAACAGTTTTTTAAGTTCATAACTGTTAATTAGCAAGAAAGAGGACACTCCGCAGTTTCCGGAACACTTTTGAAAAAATTATTACGACCACTCGTTTTTAACTTAAATTTCATTTAAAAAATCAGTGGGCCACCTCAAGACGTTGAGTAAAAAATTTTTTTTTTTTGAAAATTTTTTTTTATAGGCTACAAATTCCACCCTAGTATACACCATTAATTAGTTATTAATAAAATAAAATAGCCAATCACATGCGTATTTTAGCAAAATGATTAGAGGTGGGAGAACTATAATGTGCAGCTTAATCTTATAAATTCTTTATATAATGGTAGTGTAAAATGACCTTAATTATATAGTTGAGACATTCTTTTTTTAGGGAATTTTTTTTAATAGTCCAACTTTATCTTATTATATGCTTAAAGGTCCCTCCATTTCTCTGCAAGCACATTTCACAACGTTTAATAACATTATTACATATTCATTCAAATATGTCTAATTAAATAATAATGTTAAAATTAATTATTTTCAATATTAATTAAATTATTATTTTTACTTATTTAAAAAAAGTTAAGTAGGCGTAGTAAATTAATTAATATTAATATTAATATAATAAATATTTTTCCTTATTTAAAAAAAGTAAAGTATCTCACCTATTTGTCCTACACAAAAAAAAACATTTATCCGAAATCGACAGTAAAGTAGTCAACAATCGGCAGTGAAGTAGAACTTTACTGCCGATTTAATACGAGTATTGTATGCAACCCTTTATACATTTTAAGATGTGTCTACTGCTCCTCAGCAGCAACTAAATAATAAAAAAAGCACCGTCGCGGAGGTCGATTGGACCCTTTCATAAAATGTTGTTTAATAAAAGTTAATTTTATTAATTAGATTAAAAAATCGCCGCGGTAGGCAAATATATATATATATATATATATATAACCGTCGCAACAAACAGTTTACGTAGACACTTCCTACATTCAAATGACATTTGATTTGATCATCAAATGACATTTGATTTAATCATCAATATTAATTATTAGTATTATTAAATGTGATTTTGGATAAAATTTAATATAATTTCCAAACTCGTGATTAAAAATATGACTTTATACATAAATAACTATTCTCTTGACCAAAAAAAAACAAAACACTGACAGTGACAGTAAAAATAAAATTAAGGTCATTTTATATATTGCAATATGATACGGTCATAGCTATGGAATAGCAAAATAGAAAAACATCATACTGAAATACTAAATAAAATGTAACATCTGTTAAATGATACTTATAACCTCACTTTTCTTTATTTCTATTTATTTTTTGCAAAAAAAATTATACAATATGAGTAAAAATGCATATTTTTACACACAGATAATGCGCATTATTTACTCGGATGATTTACATCTCTTGCCTGGCGGATCGAGACATTCTCGTCGAAAAAAGGCTGCAGTATCTCTCGTATAATAATATACTATTATTCATATTGGATTTCAATAGAAATAATAAAAAATTGCAATAAAAGGTACCTAAATAAAAAATGCCATTCACTTTTTGCAAGACAATCAGTGTTTTATATTTTATTATTGCACCTCCATTTTTTATCGCCATTCTTACGTATCGTCGTAAATTATGGCAAAAAATAATGGATAATAAAAATGTATAAGGAAAACCACTTAACTTTTATTAATCGAGGTATTAACGACACACTACCATTAAAAAATAATGTTAAAAAACCGATATATTTCAGAAATCACCTTACACATAAAAAAAACACATCCTAACTGAACAAAAATCGATACGAAATTGATGACATCAAGTATTCTACTTGATAAACCCTTATATTTGATGTCAAACAGCTTGTGAATAGATTTTGATGATTTTGGAAACTAGAAATTTGAAATTTGAAAATTGTCATGTCAAGGAGGTTGTGAAGAAATATGACTTCAATCATCTTATCGTTTTCTATTCGTCAGACCCTTTTATTTGGTACCCATACCAAGAAGGTTGAAAATAAAAAGGTAAGAAATCAATCAATTTTGGAAACACTTTTGGTGTAACTTGAAAAAGGAGAACTTTGGTGGTTTGATAAACAAATATTAGAAATATTTCCCAACACCAAAACAAAACACAGTGCTTAAAGTACTTTTTGCCAACACTTCTGAAGATGTCAACATCGTTGGGAATATTTATATTTGTTTAACTTTTGGTGTTGAAAACTCAAGTTTTCAAATCAATGGCATTCAATTCAGGCCATCATCTCACGATATCTTTTCCCATTCACTGTCACTATTTGTGTTATTTCTTGAAATGGCGACATCAATTGGCCACCGAGATCGTGTGACTTAACACCTCTTGGCTTTTTTCTTTTGGGTGATTTTAAAAGTAAGGTGATTTTAGCTTTATCTAATTAATTGCACTATCTAGACTTTAAATAAGCGATGTGACGTTGAAAACATAAACTAATTAAGGAATGGTGATGCAAGAAACAATTTTGCGAGAATTTAATTTTAGTTTATGGCAGCGCGCGAAATATAAAAATGCAACATTGTTGACAATAACGGCCTTTAAATTTCGTTTTTGTAATGGAAAAACATTCGCGGAGTCGTTTGGACACTGGCGGTTCGTATTTCGTAACTTTTTAACGTTCAGGTATGTTTCCGAATGCAAATGCAACCGGGAGTTCGTTAGCTTTACGCTGCTGTTATTAACTTTAACGTATCGAAAATGTACGATGCCATAAAGATGTCACTTTAAGACAACCTTTACGACCCGTCAAAGATCAATTTTCCGAGATTTTTACAGTCATTTTAATGCCATCTGAATTATATTAAAGTAACGATGGAAAAGAACGGCTATAAAAGGATACGCCGTACAGTGATTTAATTTGGAAATCCAGTCTCAAGAGTCATTATTTTAAGTATTACCAAAAATATGTCTAAAATTAGCATTTGTAGTATCCACTCTGTAAAAATGAAATAGTCAAAACTCTACTATTTGAATTAGTACCAGCATTTTTTACTAATAAAATAGTCGTTTCACTTTTAAATAGTTATTTATTACTACGTAAATAGTTAAAGTTTGACTAATTTAAGATTAGTCACCATCTAGGACTATTTCTGAGAGTTAAAAGTAACTAATTTCTTTAATCGTTTGCGGCCAACAACAAAGTATTATTCGAATTAAATGCATATACCTAAGTTCCATGATTAAAATAACCATAAAAACAAATAAAGATGCAAAAAGTTTAGCTCAAAACAGCAACACAAATAATATATTCAACTTATAAGAGCGGCTGATAGCTAAATGAGTTATGACAAAAGCTTGACAAGTGACACACCAGAGTTCAATCCCCAGCTGGGTCAAAACTTTTTTAAATTTAAATCTACTTTAAATCTATTTCATTCAGTAGAATTTGACTAATTATTAGTGACTGCTTTTTCGCTATGACTATTGGTCAAATATGACTTATAATTAGTTGTTTTTGACTAATTCATTTAAAATTAAAATTTTTATTATTTCATAAATTGTACAAACATTATGTAGGTTTCTATAATGTATTCCATTTAAGAATAAAGCGTTGAGTTGAATAGGATTTATTATAGACCAATCACGAGGCTTAAAATTGAGGTTTTATTTACACAAGCCCAAATTTGAAAACCTCTCTGTCTAATACCTTGAATATTTCATATAACGCAGCTCTCATACGCTAAATATTGTCTTATACAGCATTGCCATTGCTTCTAAATACAAATTTACAAACTGACATAATAATATTATACAACAAACCCGCAAGACTTATTATATTATTAACATAATACTATTATTTTTGTTCTCAATTTGTCAAAAATATTTTAATTATAGAAAGAATATTTCTTTTCAGAAGGTTTGATTCATCGCAAATTGGCAACGTAGCATTAAATTTGTTTTAAATGGCAGCAGTAGCATCAGCTGTTATCATAGAAAGTTTTTATTTTGTTAATTTATTGTTTGTTCTGTGATTTATTGCCTTTTTTAACGACTATTTCCCTCGTCTTAATTTCCACCAATCACAAACGCGCAATTTTGAATTACAAATGGTTTGTAGGTGAAAAAACTGTGTGACAGCACCTGTCAGCAGTTTATTCGAGTTTACCCGCGGCAAAACTTGACAGCTGTTGTCACCAAAAATTGCAATTTATATTTTAATTGTTAACTGTTACTCATGAAATAGTCTTGTCAAATACCACTCGGGCATCTAATTTTTCCTGTGAAAAAAAATCGAAAAAACACAATGCTAAGTAATATTTTTTTAACAAAATGCATTCGTGCAGGTGCAAAAATCCTCCTCTTCGACTCGGATTTTTGTTGCCACCAGCACTCATGCTTTTTGTTAAAATATTACTTAGCACGTGTTTTTTCGATTCTTTTCGGAAAAATTAAATGCCCTTATGATATTACTTACGAATAAAACTTTGTTAATAATTTGTTACTGAACAACAGGTAAGTCAATTACTTTAAAATCCCTTAACATAACCAAAGTCTCTGTCTTAAAAAATAAATCTGAGCAACATATAGGACGAGGTCAAAGAATAATACTTTTCAATATGGTAAAGAAACATATCGATAAAGGAAAATCAAAAAGTGACAGTATCATCCGAAAAAACTGGTATTTAAAAAAATGCTTGAATAAAGAATGT